TTTTTCTTCTAATAACTAACGTCATCTACAACTCTCTACTTAATATTCAATACAAAATAGATGCATAAATGAGTTGCGCAAACGATGGTTCTCTTGTATGGACCAAAGGGGGGTCCCGTCCACCAACGCGCGGATGGTATAATGGGCGATGAAATCATTTCAAAAGAATAAAAAAACAAAGCAATAAGTACCCTTAGTCCTGGAATACGTAGCTTACTATAGCATCACACACGGTAATTTATTATTGTACTAAATTCAAATACATATATGTTTTCAAGCAGCAACACACAATACAATCATAAATAGAATACAATGCAGTACTAATAAATTAACATAAGATTTCTAAATTAAGCACGAAGTCACAATGAAAGAAAAATAAAGAAAAAAACACTCTAGAATTAAACTCAATTTCATGAATTGGCTGATCGGTGATCTCCATCTCGTGAGGGAGTTCCTTTTGAAGGAACAAGGATAAAAGAGGCCAGAGGAGCCCATGGTCCCCCCACAAATTTTCAAATTTTCAAATTTTCAAATTTTCAGGACAGGCGCGTCTTTTGTCCGCGCCTTTTTTTCCGCGCCTCATGCTTCAGCCCTTCTGTAGGGAGGTACTCCAATGGAATCGACTCTGGAGTCATTGAAGGAGGAGTTAATCCCAAGTAATTGATCAACAACCAAACCAAGGTGAGAAGTTGTCCACCTCTGCTTACTTGTCGTGCATGGACAATGGGTTGGCAATTAATAGCAGCATAACATACTATTTCTACCCAAAATCTGCCCATTAATTCCCACGGACAACCACCGGGCTGATTCAGAAGCTCCTTGGCAAGAAGACGTGCAGCATCTATTCTCGAAAATCTAGCTATATATTCAAGTTGAACAAGTTCTAACTTGTCCACATCTTCCTTCAACATATCTAGATCTATACGATCGTCTTCACCTTCTTCTTCCAATAGCTTTCTTGGATCTTTAGTGAATGTTTCTTTGGATCCCTTCTCCGGATAACTTGGCCACTTCCATTTTTCATCATTGACCTCAAAAACCATCTTCAAATTGTTAGGCGAGGTGGCTTTCATACTAGGCTCCATCACCAAAAGGTAAAACATATAATCTGAAATCAACTTGCATATGTTTCGGTGATCAAAGCAATTAGTAGATGTAGAGGTAGAATTGCTGGGGCTGTTATCTGAATTGCTGGGGCTGTTATCTGAACATTCTTTTTGGTAGCATATTTCAGTCGCTATGTGCCATATCAGCAGGCTATCCATATGTTCAAACTTCTTCAAGGTCCAAGCGAAGTTAGTAACATGACCGGTGAGAATTCTAGATGGACCAAAGATTTCCGAACCGGCAACTCCAATACCCTGTTCTTGTAGCGTTGTAAAAATGAACTTCCAAGCTTGTTCTTCTACAAAATCTTTGGAGGACACACACAGAATTCTTCTTCTTATGGTTTCAAACCTTTTGCCAAGAAAATCAACCAATTTGTTTGCATAAGCTCCGTCTTTATTACTGAAATGACAATCAAAGATATTTAATTGGGGAACTGAGTTAGACCACCTGTACCTATTAATGAATTTCTCATAATTCTTTTTGTCAGAGTACTGCCTAACAATAATCCAATCAGAGCACATGAGTAACCAAATGGATATCAAATCCAATGCCAAAGCCCCAATCAGCAACCCATATGTCAGGTAGATGTCAAACTTCCCCAACTTATTATGGTAGTACTTCTTAAGTAATATTGAGAATGACACCAAGGCTCCCAAGATGCAACCAAAGTTAACCATGCGGCAAATATAACCAACCTTGGAATCAAATACGGGCAACTTGGTATGAAGGAGCTCATACAAGAGGCTTAATTGGATCTCTATTGTTCGAAGCGTCTCCTGTGAACCTCTTTTTCCCATAAAATTACAAAAATCC